ACACATAACAATATTAACATTAAATGTAAATGACCTAAATGCCCCAGTTAAAAGACAGACTGGCAAATTGGATAAAAAGTCAAGATCCATTGGTGTGCTATATTCAGGAGACCCATCTCACATGCAAAGACACACATAGACTGAAAATAAAGGGATGAAAGATTTAATGAGCAAATGGAGAGAGAAAAAAAATGTAAAATAAAATGCAGTAGTTGCTATCCTAATCTCTGATAAAATGGACTTTAAACCAACAAAGATCAAAAGAGACGAGGAAGGTCATTGGATAATGGCAAAAGGATCAACGCAACAAGAGCTAAATATCCTAAATATATATGCACCCATTACAGGAGTGCCCAGATACATAAAGAAAGTTCTTAATAACCTACAAAGAGACGTAGACTCCTGCACAATAATAGTGGGAAATTTTAATACTCCACTGTCAATATTAGACAGATCAACAAGACAGGAAATCAACAAGGATATCCAGGTCTTGAACACAGATCTGGACCAAGCAGACCTAATAGACATGTACAGAACTCTCCACCCCAAATCCACAGAATATACATCCTTCTTAGCACCACATTGCACTTACTCTAAAATTGACCACATAATTGGAAGTAAATCTCTCCTCAGCAAATTAAAAAAAAAAAATGAAAATCGTAACAGTCTCTCAGACTAAAGTGCAATCAAATTAGAACTCAGAATTTAAAAACTTACCCCAAACTTCACAACTGCATGGAGACCAAACAACTTGCTCCTGAATGACAACAAGATAAACAGTGAAATGAAGGCAGAAATAAAGATGTTGTTCAAAACCAATGAGAACGAAAACAGAATGTCCCAAAATATCTGGAACACATTTAAAGCAGTGTCTAGAGGGAAATTTATAGCAATAAATGCCTATATGAGAAATGAGGAAAGATTTAAAATCGACACCCTATTATCAACATTGAAAGAGCTAAAGGAGCAATATCCAAAAAACTCAAAAGCTAGTAGAAGAGAAGAAATGACTAAGATCAGAGCAGAACTGAAGGATACAGAGACACAAAAAAGAACCCTTCAAAAAATCAATAAATCCAGGAGCTGTTTTTTTTTTTTAAAGAGCAGCAAAATAGTCAGACTGCTAGCCAGCCTAAAAAAGAAAAAAAAAAGAGAGAGAAGAATTGAATAGATGCTTTAAAAAATGATAAAGGGGATGTCACCACCGATTCCACAGAAATACAAACTACCATCAGAGATTACTACAAACAACTCTATGCACATAAGCCAGTAAACCTTGAAGAATGGATAAATTCCTGGACACTTACACCCTCCCAAGCCTAAACCAGGAAGAAGTTGAAACCCTGAATAGACCAATAACAAGATATGAAGTTGAGGCAGCAATTAATAGCCTACTAACCAAAAAAAGTCCAGGTCCAGATGGGTTTACAGCCAAATTCTACCAGATGTACATACAGGAGCTGGTACCATTCCTTTTGAAACTATTTCAAACAATACAAAAAGCGGGAATCCTCCCTAACTCATTTTATGAGACCAACATCCTCCTGATACCAAAACCTGGCAGAGACACAACTAAAACAGAAAACTTCAAGCCAATATCCATGATGAACATTGATGTAAAAATCTTCAATAAAATACTGTCAAACCGAATGCAACAGCATATGAAAAAGCTTATCCATGATGATCAAGTAGGCTTCATCCCAGGAATGGAAGGCTGGTTCAACATATGCAAATCTACAAACCTAATCCAATACATAAACAGAACCAAAGACAAAAATCACATGATCATCTCAATAGATGCAGAGAAGGCCTTTAACAAAATTCAGGCCCTTTATGTTAAAAACTCTCAATAAACTAGGTATCAATGGAAAGTATCTCAAAATAATGAAAGATATTTATGACAAACCCACAGCCAATATCATACGGAACAAGCAAAAACTGGAAGCATTCCCTGTGAAAACTGGCATAAGACAAGGATGCCCTCTCTCACTACTCCTATTCAATATAGTATTGGAAGTTCTGGCCAGGGCAATCAGGCAAGAAAAAGAAATAAAGGGTATTCAATTAGGAAAAGAGGAAGTCAAATTGTCTCTATTTGTTGATGACACGATCGTATATTTAGAAGACCCCATCGTCTCAGCCCAAAATCTCCTTGAGCTGATAAGCAACATCAGCAAAGTCTCAGTATACAAAATCAATGTGCAGAAATCACAAGCATTCCTATACACCAACAACAGGTAAGCAGAGAGCCAAATCATAAGCAAACCCCCATTCACAATTGCTACAAAAATAATAAAATACCTAACAATACAACTAACAAAGGACGTGAAGGACCTCTTCAAGGAGAACTACAAACCACTGCTCAAGGAAGTAAGAGAGAACATAAACGGATGGAAAAACTTTCCATGTTCCTGGTTAGGAAGAATCGATATCATGAAAATGGCCATAATGCCCAAAGTAATTTATAGATTCAATGCTATCCCCATCAAGCTACCATTGACCTTCTTCATGAAACTGGAAAAAACACTTTAAACTTCATATGGAACCAAAAGAGAGCCTGCATAACCAAGACAATCCTAAGCAAAAAGAACAAAGCTGGAGGCATCACGCTAACTGACTTCAAGCTGTACTACAAGGCTGCAGTAATCAAAACAACGTGGTACTGGTACCAAAACAGAGACATAGACCAATGGAATGGAACAGAGGCCTCAGAAGTAATGCCACACATCTACAACCATCTGATCTTTGACAAACCTGACAAAAACAAGCAATGGGTAAAGAATTCCCTGTTTAATAAATGGTGTTGGGAAAACTGGCTAGCAATGTGCAGAAAGCTGAAACTGGACCCCTTCCTTACACCTTACACTAAAATTAGCTCTATATGGATTAAAGATTTAAACATAAAACCTAACACCATAAAAACTGAGAAGAAAACCTAGGCGAAACCATTCAGGACATAGGCATATGCAAGGACTTCATGAGTAAAACACCCAAAGCAATGGCAACAAAAGCCAAAATAGACAAATGGGACCTAATCAAACTCCACAGCTTCTGCACAGCAAAAGAAACAGTCATTAGAGTGAACCAGCAACCAACAGAATGGGAAAAAAATGTTTTCAATCTACCCATCTGACAAAGGGCTAATATCCAGAATCTACAAAGAACTACAGCATATTTACAAGAAGAAAAAACAAACAAACCCATTCAAAAGTGGGCAAAAGATATGAAGAGACACTTTTCAAAAGAAGACATTTGTGAGGCCAACAAACATACGAAAAAAAATGCTCATCATCACTGGTCATTAGAGAAATGCAAATCAAAACCACATTGAGATACCATTTCATGCTAGTTAGAATGGTGATCATTAAAAATCTGGAGACAACAGATGCTGGAGAGGATGTGGAGAAATAGGAACACTGTTATACCGTTTAGGTAGAGTGTAAATAAGTTCAACCATTGTGGAAGACAGTGTGGCGATTCCTCAAGGATCTAGAAATAGAAATTCCATTTGATCCAGCAACCCCATTACTGGGTATATACCCAAAGGATTATAAAACATTCTTTATAAAGACACATGCACACATATGTTCATTGTGGCACCGTTTACAATAGCAAGGACCTGGAACCAACCCAAATGCCCATCAACGATAGACTGGACAAAGAAAATGTGTCAGATTAACACCATGGAATACTATGCAGCCATAAAAAAGGATGAGTTCATGTCCTTTGTAGGGATGTGGATGAATCTGGAAACCATCATTCTCAGCAAACTGACACAATAAGAGAAAACCAAACACCACATGTTGTCACTCATAGGCAGGTGCTGAACAATGAGAACACATGGGCATGGGGAGGGGAACGTCACACACTGAGATCTATTGGGGGGTAGGAGTCTAGGGACACTTGGGGGTGAGGAGTACGGGGAGGGATAACACTGGGAGAAATGCCTGATGTCGGTGATGAGGGGGGGATGGAGACAGCAAACCACCATGGCATAGGTGTACTATGTGACAATCCTGCAGGATCTGCACATGTACCCCAGAACTTAAAGTACCATTAAAAAAAGAAAGATATTAAGTGAAAGTCTAACAAAACATGTATAGGACATGTATGGTGAAAATTACAAAAAAACTAAGGAAAGAAATCAAACATAAATGAAAGATGAGGCATATATTGTATATGGATTAGAAGATTCAATACAGTTAATTATCCCCAAATTGCTATATAGGTTTAACACAATTTCTATTAAAAATACCAGCAAGATTTTTTATAGATATAGACAAGATTATTAGAAAATTTGTATGGAAAGTCAAAAACACAATTCTTAAAAATCAGAATAAAATGGGAGGAATCAGTATACCCAATTTCAAGAACTGTTATGTAGAGACAGTAATCAAGACTTCGCTATAGAAGCAGGTACAAATACATAAATCCATGGAATAGCATAGAGAACTCAGAAATAGACTCACACCAATATATCAAACTGTTTTTGACAAACGTGCAAAAGTAACTCAATGGGAGAAAGATATTCTTTCTAACAAATGGCACTAGAGTGAGACATATGAACAAAAAAATGACATGTGAACAAAAAAATGAACAAAAATATGAACAAAAAGTGACATATAAACAAAACCTATAGGCAAAAATATGAACCACAACCTAAACGTCACACATTATACAAAAATTCACTCAAAATGGATCATTGAAGTTAGTTGAAACATACATTTATGAAAATGTTAGAATATAAGAGAAAACTTTAGGACCTAGACTTCATGAAAGGTTCTTAGGCATAACAACAAAAGCACAATCCATAAAGGAAAAAATGAATAAATTAACAACTTTAATTATGTGAAAGACCATGTGAAGAGGATGAAAAAATAAGCTATGTTTACAAACAACATATCTGACAAAGGACTCATATGAAGAATATATAGTGAATTCTCAAAACTCAAAATTAGAAAAAATAAACAATCCCATTACAAAATGGGTAAAAGGTCTACTTGCTTCAGCAGCACAGACACTAAAATTGGAATGACACAGACAAGATTAGCACGGCCTCTGCACAAGAAAATAGGTAAAAAGCACAGAGTCATCTCACCAAATAAAATATATAATTAACAAATAAGCACATGAAAATATGTTCAGTATCATAAGACATTAGGAAAATGCAAACAGTCCACAAAAAATATTACTACACATTTATTAGAATCGCTAAAGAAAAAAAATGGCAGATGATACTAAGGAGGATGCATAGAAACTGAATCTCATACATTGTTGGTGGGAATGTAAAATCTCACAGCCACTCTGGAAAACAGGTTGGCAGTTTCCTAAAAACTACGTATTGCAATTACCCTATGACCCAGTAATTGCAATCTTAGGCCTTTCATTTCCAGAGAAATAGGACTGATGGTTGCACAGAAACTTGTATACTACTGTTTACATAGCTTTGTTTGTAGTAGACCAAAACTGAAAACAACCAAAATGTCCCTCAGTTGGTGAATGTGTAAACAAACAGTGGCATATCCTTTATTGCTGAAATGCTATTCAACAATAAAAGTATGTACATTTATGATACATGTAACAACTGGGATTTGTGTCAAGAACATGCTGAGTGAAAAAAAGTTAATCTCAAGAGGTTACATGTCATACAATTTCATTTACATAGCTTTCTTAAAATGATAAAGTTACAGAGATGGAAAACAGATTAGTGGTTGCCAGGGGTTAGGAATACTGAAGGGATGGAGTATTGGGTGTGACTAATAAGAGGTAGCAATATCAATCCTTGTGGTGTTGATATAGTTCTATATTTTGATTGTGGTGGCAGCTCCACTTAATGTATTAAAATTATATATATATTTTAACAATGTCAAATTCCTGATTTTGATATTGTACTACAGTTGCCTAATTCACAACCATTGGAGGAAATCGGGTGAAGGGTGCATGGGCTTCTGTACTATTTTTCCACTTTTTGTAAATATAGAATTATTTAAAAATAAAAAGTTAAAAATGTGCAGAGAAAACTAGATGGACCACCCATATACCTACCATTGAGTTTACCCAATCATAAAAATTTGCCATATTTGAACATTTCATTTTAAATTAACATACAATAAAATTGACTTTTTGGTGTATAGTTGTATGAATTTAAATATATGTATAGATTTGTGTTACCAGCATGATTAGAATTTGTTTTGACCACAATTAGAATCAAATACCCTTCTGTAACCCTAAAACCTCCTTGTGCTATCCTTTTGTAGTCACACCTTCCCCCCACACCTAACCTCTGGCACACAGTGCTATGTTCTTTATCACTATTGTTTGTCTTTCTAGAATGCCATATTAATGGAATCCTACACTATGCAGTCTGTTGAGGCTGACGTCTTTTACTTAGCATAAGAAATTTTGAAAGTTATCAAAGTTGTGTTTAACAGTAGTTCATTGATGTTATTGCTAGGTAGTATTCTATTGTATGGATGTAGCTCAGAGTGTTTATACATTTATTTGAGCTGTTGAAGAATAATTAGGTGTTTTTTTTTTTCAGATTATGAACAGAGTTGCCCTAAAAGTTTGTGTATAAATTTTTATGAATAGTTTTTTATTGAGATATAATTCACATACCATACAATTCACTCCTTTAAAATGCGCAATTTAGTTTGAGTCTATTTTCCAAGGTTGTGCAGCCATCACTAACTACTATATAATTGCAGAACATTTCAACGACCCCCGAGAAGCCCAGTCACTTCTTTCTTCCTACTCCCAGTTCAAGACAACCACTAATGTACTTTCTGTCTCTATAGATTTGCCTGTTTTAGACATTTCATATAAATAGAGTCATTTAACATGTGGCCTTCTGTGCCTGGCTTCCTTCACTTAGCATAATGTTTTCAAGGCTCATCCGTGTTGTAATATATATCAGTAGTTTATTCCTTTTTATGGCTAAGTAATATTCCATTGTGTGGATATACCATAATTTGTTTATCTGTTCATCAGTTGATGGACAGGTGTTTCCATTTTTTGGCTACTATGCATAACACTGCTATGAACATCTAAATACAAGTTTTTATGTGGACATATGTTTGCGTTTCTCTTGATTATGCAGAATTAAGTGTAGAATTACTGAGTTATGTTGTAACTCTGTGTTTAACCTTTTGAGAAACTGCCAAATCAGTTTCCAAAGTGGCTGTGTTAATTTATATTCTCACCAGTAAGGAGGGTTCAATTTCTGCACATCCCCATCAATGCTTGCTGTTGTCTGTATTTTTTTTTAAATTAGTCATCCTGGCAGCTATGAAATAATGTCTCACTGGTTTTGATTTGCATTACCCTGATGGTTAATGGAATTGAATGTCTTTTCATGTGCTTAATAGGCACCTCTATATCTTCTTTAGAGAAATATCTATTCAAATCATTTGCCCATTTTCAAATTGGGTTGTCTTTTTATTGTTGAGTTGTAAGAGCTCTTTATACATTCTGGATATAAGTCCTTTATTAAATATATGATTTGCCAATATTTTCTTCTATTATGAATGCTGTCTTTTTCCTGTATTCATGGTGTCCTTTGATGCTCAAAAGCTTTAAATTTTGATAAAATCCAATATATTTTCTTTAATTGTTTGTGCTTTAGGTATTATATCTAAAAATACCATTGCCTAACCCAAAGTCAGTCACAAAGATTTACACCCATGTTTTCTTTTAAGAATTTTAGTTTTTAGTTCTTACATTTAGGTCTTTGATTCATTTTGAGTTAATTTGTTCATATGGCTGTAGTGGCATTTATAACTTTCTTTCTCCACTACATATTCCATATTCATTAGGGATTTTTGTTTTTGTTTTGCTTGCCTGTTTGGGTTTTTTGTTTGTTTGTTTATTTACCCTATAGCGTAATCACAATTTTTATTTCAAGAAAAACTGAGCCTTTGATAGTTTGCCTGTACTGGATTGCTGTAACTGTCATGTGGTGGAAATACTATTACATTTGGAATTAAAAATTATAACCACACCAAGTTCAAGGTTGCAGGGAGTGAAGCAACTTTTTGTGAGTGGGTCATTAGGTGTAATAATGATTGATGCCATCTCTATTTCCACTATTTGATAGCCTGGCTATAAGAGAGAAATTGGTAGCCAGTTCAGAGCACAACTATATCCATAGAACAGTATTTCAGCTTCACAATGTGTAGCCTCCTAGTTAAGACTGTAACTGATTCAGTGTTAAGTAATGCACCATTCAATAAGGCTAGCTGCTTCTGACTGATGGCATCCATGGTAAGATCTGTGCAACCCATGAATATGAGACTATTGTCTCTCTTTTTGTTTTTTGGCTAATAAATGAATTATTTAATTAGAATGCATGTTGCAAAGATACTGTGATGATGAATAAGATATTCAGTAAATCCACGGATGGTGGTACTTGTGAATAGGCAATGTGAGCATGTATAAAAAATAGTTGTCTATTCCATTGAGGGCAAATATCTGCCTCCCAAATGATAGCTGTAATTATACTGTTACCAGATCGGCATATGGTTATACTGGGTTATGGTTCCAAATTAGCAGCTCAGCAGTGGTGTCTACTAGAGGCAGACTGGGCACTCAGCAGTGGCTATAGCTAAACTAGTTTTTTGTTAAGAGGAACCTCATGTTATTCAGCTATATGTATCTTACACCCTTACCATCATGGCCATTTTATTCATCAGCCGTAGCGACCAAGCTCTGATGTAGCTGGGCAAGGACATCTACAGATGAAATATCTACTTTCTCAAAAAATTTTAGGACATGCTTAGTCCTGATCTTATATATCAGTTCTATTTGAAGAGGAAATGCTGCTGTGCATGCTCAACTTTATGTCTTGGCAGATCAAATAAGACCCATATATGATGGGAAGCTTGGGTTCTAGGGTCATTTTGTTTCCCATGGTCAGGCATTAAATTCTTACCCATAACACACAAGAAAATCGAAAGCTACTTTACAATACAAGAGGCTTTTCTTCAAAACCTTTGAGGAATGAGGAGAGGTTTATACAAATGAGTCTCCTATTAGGGCTTGCTACCATCTCTATACAACAACCTGAGCTGCTATAGATATTTTTGAGCACCACTGGATCTGTTGAGTCATAAAGCCCAAGTGTCAGAGGTAACATTAACCCTCCAGGTTCTAGCAGTATTATGTCTATTAGGATAGTGTGATCAACAAGGTGCCTAGATTAAGCTAAAGACCGAGAAAGTGGGTGAACTTCTGAAATAAGACCATAAGCATATACTGATGTCAGAGGGTATACTGAGGATATATAGTAAGGGTAAACAGATGAAAGTAACTTGTGTTCTGTTTTATGGTTATTGGGATAGAGAAAATGTCAGATTGGTAACTGCATATGAGGTTCTAAGAGCTGTGTTTATTTGGTGAGGTAAACATATCCTCAGTGTTGGATCAGGACATCCTAATGGTGTAACCACTATTAAGGATTTGTTTGTTCAACTATTAAAGTCCTATGTGATCTGAGTTCAGTGAATCACTTCTCAATAGGACTGAAAGGAGGATGATAGCTAGGATGACTTCATAAGAAGTTGTTTGGGCTACTGCTCATAGTGCATTATATATATATATATATATATATATATATATATATATATATATATGAGATACATATAACTTTACATATATATTTTCTGTATTCAGCCATTCTTGCATTTCCATAAATAAATACCCAAGACTGGGTAATTTATAAAAAAAAAAAAAAAAAAAAAAAAAAAAAAAAAAGGTTTAATTAGCTCATGGTTTTGTAGGCTGCACAGGAAGCATATCTCCAACTTTAGCTTCTGGGGAGGTCCCAGGAAGCTTATCATTATGACAAAAGGCAAAGTGGGAGCAGGCACTTCACATGGTGAAAGCTAGAATGAGAGAGAGAGAGAGAAAGAGAGAGAGAGAGAGAGAGAGAGAGAGAGAGAGAGAGAGAGAACACATATACATGAATGTGTTGGAGGGGAGGTGCCATACACTATTAAATGACCAGACTAGATCTCAGGAGAACTTACTATCAGGAAGGCAGCACCAAGCCATGAGGGATCCACCCCCATGATCCAAATACCTCCCACCAGGTCCAGCATTGGGGACTACAATTCAACATGAGACTTGGCAGAGACAAATATCCAAACTATATCAATATCTATATGATATATATAGATATCAGGACACTAATGTTTTGTCAGTTAAGTTTCAAATATCTTTTCTCAGTCTATTATTTATTTTTTAATGTTTAAATGCTGTCTTTTGCCTTTAGAAGTTGTAAATTTTTATGAAATCAAATTTATCCATATTTTCCCATAAGACCTCTGCTTTATGTGTCTTAAGAAATTATTTTCTACCATAAGGATTTAAAGGAAATCTTTTATGCTTCATTCTAATAATTTTAAAGTTTTGTTCTTTATTCAGGTCTTTAAAACATCTGGAGTTTATTTTTATGTATAGTATAATGGGAGTAGCTAATTAATTCTTTTCCATATGAAATTATCTTCATACCATCTATTGAATACTCTATGCTTTTCTTACTTTATACAATTCAACAAATACCCAAACATATTGTGTGTTAGATATTGTTCTAGGCACTTAAAATGCAGCATTAAAAATATAGACAAAAGTAGTCCTATTGCTAATGTGAATTATATGTCATTAAAGCTCCTAGAACATTCCTACCCTCTTGAAGCTTATATTATACATTGAGGAAGTATGTAATTAATAAGTATATTCTATTGTATGTTGGAGATGATAAATATTACGGAAAAAATAAAGAGAGTAACAAAATTTGAAGTGCTGGGTTAAGAGGGAAGGTTGTAACTGTAAATCAGGTAGTCTAGGTTGGTCTTGTTGAGAAGTCCACCTTTGGGTGAAGATGTGGAAGAAGTGAGGGAGTTGGCATATTAATATTCGGGGGATAATAAAAGTTAATACTTATACATAGTATGTGCCAGGGTCTGTTCTAAAAACTATATATATATATATATATATATATATATATATATATATATATATTTGCTCATTTACTCCTCATAACAACTGAAAGTCCTACTGTTATTATCATCTTCGTGTGACAGATGGGTGAAACGAAGCACAGGAAGGTTAAGTACCTCACCCAAGGTCCCCAGCTAATAATTAGTAGAATCAGAATTTGAACCTAGGTGGTCTGGTTCCAGAGCCCATGGTTTTACCACTATCTTATGATACAGCAAGTTCCTGTTTATGCTGGTATCTGTTTTGTTTAATTAATCTTTGTCCTCCAGGCAAACACCACACTATCTTAATTACTACAGCTTCATAACGAATTTTCGTAGGGCAATGTTCTTGGCTACACTTAGAGTTTTATATTCTTCCACAAAAATTTTGAAGTAATTTTTTTGAATTTCACAAAAATTCCTGTTGGGGCTGTTATTGGAATCTATGTATAAATTACTTTGGGGAGGATTGATACCTTGCAGCATTGCATCTTGTATCCATGAGCCTGGTCTGACTTTGCATTTATTCACAGCCTCTGTTATGTTTTTCAATAGTTTTACAATTTTCTCAGTAAAGGTCCTATGCATAAACAATCTTGTACTATGTTCCAACCTCACTTCCTGTTTGCTTACTCTGTCCCACCTAGATCCTACTCTCTGTGCTTCTGATTGGTAACATAAACTGATAATTTTTTGGTGGTGTGTGTGTGTGTGTGTGTGTGTGTGTGTGAGAGAGAGAGAGAGAGAGAGAGAGAGAGAGAGAGAGAGATGGATGAGCAGTTTCTTGACCCTGCTCTTCAAGCTCAGTTTGATTAATCCAGATTGCAGCATGTCAAGAAAGATCTAAGCCCTCCTTTATGATTTTTGCAAGATGTATAGTCGTTTCCTCAATGAGTCATCAAGCCCCTCAGGGGCAGTGATGGATGTTTCCTACACTGTCCTGCCTGTGTTACAGAGCACATGGTAAGTAATCAAAAGGTCTTATTGCTACGTTTTTGATATGGAGTTGCTATTCTTTTTCTTAAATCACTTCACTCCATTTAGCCCTCAACCATAACTCCCTTTACCTTCAAAGTTGACTTCCATATTTAAAGGTGTACTTTTTTTCACATCTGAAACTTTCTCTTTTGCCAGTAGCTTGTTTACTCTGAAGAAGTGAGAAAGAGGGTCTTGGTGAGGAGCTGAGAGTTCTTTGAGAAGAAATACCTTTGTGAGATGATCTAGTCCAGCTTTTGAAAAAGTTTTTTTATCCCCACAGAACATTGGTCCATGTTCTGTGGTGACCAAAAGGTTCTGAGCTTCAAAAAAATAAGTGGAAGCCCTGTATTCCAATTTTTTTTTCTTTTTGAGACACACATTATAGTTTGTATTAAGGGCCCTGACAAGTTTTATGATAAACAAAATTACCTTTGTTTAGTGCATAACTTTTCAAACATTTTTGACCACAGGGTTTTTTTTTTCTGTTTTAAGGAACATCTATTAATGCCCACATACCTCAAACAAGGAAATATTGATTCTGCTTATCCCTCTGCTCTCTAGGATACATGAAGCAAACAAAGTCATTTATCCTAGGCTGTCTCATAAAGATATTTTGCAGCTTCCATGGTAGCATTGTAAAGCCTATATATTATGAGGAAATTTCCTCTAAAATACATTCCAAATGCTTCGTGTTTAAGTTTTATTAACCCATACACTGTTGTATCTTCACCAGAAATAAAATGATTTTGAGTTCTGATGCAAAATTAATTGCTACATATTTACTGAAGAGGTTTTAAAACATTAGCCTTGTTAGAATTTCCATATTTCCCTGTTTTTATTCCTTAATTTTTCTGCCTCTAATGTGAATAATGTTGGTTTTTCATGAGATTGCCACAGGGTAAGGCAACAACGCGTGGAAGAAAACAGGGCAGACACATGCATTTCCCTGAGGTACTTGTATAGTAAACAAGAAATCAGCAGCAAGGTATTGGGAGGACTTAACTAGGCAGGTTGCACGTTTGAGGCTGTCCACCCAACTAACAGACAGCTCCAGGCTTTGCTGAGTCAACACCTTTCACAGAAGAAAGACAATCATATTTTTAATCCTACTTGGAGGCAACTTACAATGAAACACATGCAGAGAAAATGCTTAAATATAAAAGATCAACAGCTCTGTATAAAAGGAAGGGTTAATTATACTAGGAATCAGATATAAAATAATTACTGAGCACGCTATTATCTCTGAGCTTCCTGGGAGCCAAAGAAAAGTAGAACCATGATAGTTCAAGGCTGCTGCTACATATTGGTGCACAAAGCCTAAATTGTGAAGATAGTAGCCTCCCCCTACCCCATTTAACCTCTCACCTTTCTCTTTTGTTTTATAATTGGGCCTGATCTAATTAGTCCATCTTGGATGCTTTCTTGAGTTTTTTGTAATGCATTTTATATAAAGAAGCCAGTTAATGACAAATAAGCAGTTTGAGGAGAAATCTGTTAATATTCATTTTGTAGCCATCACATTTACTTCACATAGAAAGGTAGTTGGGTTGGGTTTGAACTTTCAAACTCTCAAAGGTAAATGCTACATTCACCTTTTATTAGCCAAAGTCTTATACCAGGCTGAAAGGTTTGGGGTATCCTTTTCAATCCTATCTTTCATAATATTCTAGATTTATTTTCCCTTGTCTTGTTCCTATCCTACTTCCTCTTAGTCTACTTTGTTGACTTCATAGCAACAACAACAACAACAACAACAAACCAATAAAAACAAACAAAAAAAAACCAGTTGTTGGATACTTGAGCTAAACTGCCTTAAAGAATCTGCAGATTTGATGTTTTTTTGTTTTTTGTTTTTTTTTCCTCTCAAGTGGGTGAAAGGAAGAGAGCTACAATTTCTAGGAAGCCGGGATTTGCTGTCAGAGTCCAGCCCCCAAGCAGATTAGGCCAAGGTTTTGGCCAAGTGAAATTGCCAATTTTCTAAAAGAAAGGACTAGCACATTGCTCATTAGAGCATTCTGATTTTGTCTGTGCAATCTTTTTGCTACCCTGCAATTTCCTGTTGGTTATAAATGAAACCTTTCTAGCTGTTAATGCAGCCTGTGAATTTTTTTAAAAGCATGTAATTAATCATAGGAGGTTGGGGGGATTCACTAAGCCTGAGTTACAGGGGAGAAGCTGGACAAGGCACTAGGACCTAGAAGGCATCTATCCACCCTGGCAGGAATTTCTTGCTTGGAGCTCAGACAACAAAGGCATAGAGAGATTGGTTTTCTTTCTCTCAGCATCTCCACCCAACCAGCAGAAAACCGGTGAGTGGGGCTTTTGAGTGATTTTCAAGCAGAATGTAACAGATGTCAAACGGGAAAAGCACAAGGCAAAGCCTGCTCTCTCTGTCTCTCTGTCTCTTCTCCTTTTCTGCCTTATTCTGTCTGATTTTTTCCCTAAGCTTCTACCTGGGATTTTCCTTTGGAAAAGTGAGTTTGATGTTTCTTTGTTTTCACTGTGATGTTAATTTAGAATGATACTACCTCTGATCCTAAAGCAAAGCAAAGCATTACTGGCATGCCTGGGGAAATGTTTGCTACTTGCCTTGAGGAGGTGGGGTCTCTTACCACTGCAGGTTGTCTGACAGAGACAATGCTGAGCTCAGCATAGGTCATGGTGACATTGGAAAAAAGGGGTAATCGAGCCTAGCAAACCCATTAGGCATCAGTCTTTCTTTATCTCCTGTCCTCCTGGTTCCTTGCAAATACATTGATGTGGCAATGTGTAGCAGCTGAGCCCTGCTTGCTTTGTGAGTCCTTTTATCCCCATCTGTGAGATGCATGTTAATAGTTTGGCTCTTAGGATGTCACTACGTTTGCTAGCATTTGGGGCTTCAGTTGTATTGGGTTTCATGTTTTGATTGTTTGGGGTTTCTTTGGGGGGAGGGGTTCAACAGAAGGGAGAAAAGCAAAGCCTGACAAATTATCATCTTTTCCTCAGCTAATGCACCTGGGCAATATACAAGTTTGGGGTGAATTGCCGGCTCTGAGGGTAAAATGTCCCTTCAATTAGGGTAGGAACCCCGAACAATGAAAGGTGTGCTTCCTTCTAAAGGTCCCATATGCTGTTTGGAGACTCATTTGTGAATCTTTCAACAATTAAATTATTCCATTAAGAGGTGTTGCTGCATCGGTGGGGAGAAGATGGAGCACCTGTGGTGGGCGGGGGCGGGGGAAGGATTTTGTGAACAAATGGTACCGGGGGAAGGCAGAGCTAATAACTTGTTAAATAACTTATTTTTATAATCCTCCCCCCCCCCCCCCGGTTTATTTCTTACTAATGTCGGATAGCTGCACCAGCTTGGTGGGGAACGGGTTTGATGAATAGCACAAAGACACGGGCTGTTCCCTGGAGGCTGTCCCTTTAAAGGCGAATCTTAGTTTGTTCTGGGGGGAGGGGATGCACACATTAGAGTAGGAAAGAAGACTTGGAATAAAATGAAAACACTCCCCTTCATAGTCATTGTACTGAAATGCCAAGACTGCTTCCTAAGCTGGAGATGCTAACCTTGGCTAGCTCCTTCTGTTCTCTTCAAGGGGAATTTTGTCAGGCTATGGATTCATTTACAACTGTTAGTCATGTGGGCATGTGTGAGGAAACAGATGCCAGTTTTAATGTATTTAGCCCGAAGTTACAATTTGATAGGAGCCACTGTCAGTAAGTCTCCGGATTTTCAGCTATTTCAAAATCTTCCCCTCTCTTCTGTCTGGAACAGTGCCAAGAGTGCCTCCCTCTCTATCTCTTACTCCCAACCCCCACAACCACCAGCACCCCCGCCCAGCCCCTCCTTCTTCTCTATTAAGATCAATATTCCTGCAGGTCAGGGGCAAGCAGCAGATGGGTCACAGGCTTTTTTCAACCAGTTCTTTTCACAAGCAGCAGATTGCAGATCTGGATCTGGCTAATATTTGAATTCCTTTCTTTTTTCCCTCTCCTCGTCCCTTTTTGTTTTTGCCTCTCTTCGCTCCCATCCCTTTCTCCAACGCTCAGGTCTCTGAGGTTCCACTAAAATATGGAACTTGATTTTGGACACTTTGACGAAAGAGATAAGACATCCAGGAACATGCGAGGCTCCCGGATGAATGGGTTGCCTAGCCCCACTCACAGCGCCCACTGTAGCTTCTACCGAACCAGAACCTTGCAGGCACTGAGTAATGAGAAGAAAGCCAAGAAGGTACGTTTCTACCGCAATGGGGACCGCTACTTCAAGGGGATTGTGTACGCTGTGTCCTCTGACCGTTTTCGCAGCTTCGACGCCTTGCTGGCTGACCTGACACGATCTCTGTCTGACAACATCAACCTGCCTCAGGGAGTGCGTTACATTTACACCATTGATGGATCCAGGAAGATCGGAAGCATGGATGAACTGGAGGAAGGTAATTTAAATAGTGGGTGGTGGCCCTTGGTGGGAGGTGGCATTATTGGTTATGGTTACATTCTTGAGTTGCTTTGAAAAAATTTATGCAATGTATTTTTCAAAACACTGGGTTGATTAATGCTCAAATTTCTAATGCCAAAGACATCAACAGAGCCATTAGCAATCACCCTTCAGTCTCTGCGGAGGTTGAAGTGTGAATGGTGGTGATCAAGCATTGTGCTTATCTGCCAGGGTATAAAAAGGAAAATCTTAATTGTAGCATTTATTTTAGATCTTGTTCATAATTAACTTTGAGTAGCGCTATTGAGGCAGAGCATGAAATCATTAAGGGTATAACAAGGAAGGACATTTGGTTGGGTTAACAGAGAAAATATTGTGCCCAAATTTTCTTTGAACTGCTGGGAAATTATTTGTGAATTGCAACTCATTGGAAATACACACCCTAAGAGCAGGATTTCCTGGACATATTCACAGAGGATTATTCTTTTAGGTAAGTGGTCGCTGCTCAGCTGTTGCTTCTAAAAAGCCTACTTTAGGGTGTGTCCCTAAGGCTGAGGTCATTGGGAGAAATACCAAAGAAAGCTGTAGGTATGTCTGGTATTTTAATAAAGACCATTCCTATTAGAATAGGAATTGACTCACTGTACCTAAATCCCCTTATATCCTCTCTAGATTTTTGAATGGCAACTAAATTTTCTGAATAGATTGCCAAAAATCCCAAAAACCTGTGTACCCACCTCAAAATAGAGAAAATCCCAGCTCTTACCAGAACTTACCCAGCCATAGAGCCTTCTTTATGGTCATTTAGAAAATAGATCTTGGGTCATATATTTAACATTCTATATTATCAAATCTATTATGCCGAAGATGCTTCTCTATTTTTAAGTTGGTGGATATAACACATGTGATCAATTTAACCAAATCGGTGCTTTAATGAATGGCCTCAATGAGTGGCGATAATGAATGTGTTCCTTCTCAAGCCCCTCCTCTATTATCAAGCCCTTTCTCCACATTCCTTTCATTCCCTGAGCAAAGGTGAGTTTAAAGCAGGCAGATCTCTAGAGAAACCAAATTATGAAATAACCAACAAAGAAGGAGAAATAGCACCTTAAATGATTTGACGTGGGATCAACCTGCCTCTGCTTCACTGCTTCTAAGTTTCTTGGGTTCCTAGACAAAGGAGAATGAGGGCGTCCTTTGTACAAGACCCTACTTCTCTCAAATAGCTGCTGTTGCCAAGTAGTCAGGCCAAGCGATTGTGACCAGTTACTTACATGAGATAGTGTCCATATGGTTGCTGCATCTGAGTCTCAGGGTTCAAGTTTGAGATTTTCCTTTTCCTTTTCTTTTCTTTTTTTTTTTTTTTTTTTTTTTTTTTTGAGACAGAGTTTTGCTCTTGTTGCCCAGGCTGAAGTGCCATGGCATGATCTCAGCTCACCACTACCTCCGCCTTCTGGGTTCAAGTGATTCTCCTGCCTCAGCCTCCCAAGTAGCTGGGATTACAGGCATGTGTCACCACACCTGGCTAATTTTGCATTTTTAGTAGAGATGGGGGTTTCTCCATGTTGGTCAGGTTGCTCTCGAATTCCCGACCTCAGGTGATCTGCCTGCCTCAGCCTCCCAAAGTGCTGGAATTAGACATGAGCCACTGCACTTAGCTGAGATTTTTCTACATAGCTGACCTTGAAAAGCAATGCCCAGGAAGCTTAGATTATTTCATCATGTGCTCAGTGGACAGGCAGAGGTTAATTCTAGGTCCTTCCTGACCATCAAAGGGCTGGCCATCTTAGTGCGTATCTTAGAATAAAGGAGACTCAGGGCAAATTCCAAGGGTTTGTAGCTAGGACGAGGGAGCTGTCCAACAGAGTAATTGTTAGGGTGTCTGTCTTTTGTCATTGTAAAATCCACATCTCAGCCAAATTTCAGGGATTTCTCTGTAACAACTTTCACAAACAAAGCACCCTGTATCATCCAATATATCCTCATTTCTATGAACTGTGATATTCGAAACACCACAATAGACATTAGTAAAGAATACTGAACCAAGTAACATTGCATTCAGAGCAAGTATTAGAATATTCTTGCGTCTCATGTAAGAGAAGTGTTATGCAGAAAATTTTCCCCCAAATCCATTTTTTACATATTGATTTTTCTCCCTAGATGTATGTATGTGTGTGTGTGTGTGTGTGTGTGTGTGTGTGTGTGTTTGTGTGTGTATTGGTGTATTACAAGAGGGCTGGTGATAATCTGTTTGACACAGGTAGCAATAAATGTAATTTTGAAAAGACTGCAGCTTTCTATTCCTTTGATTCCTTTTGAGTCCTACTAGATTGAAATCCTCTTATTTATCACTCCTGTGTTCAGTGGTACTTTTTGTTGAATTCCTGGACTATGCGAAGTGTGAATAGGGCTCAGTTGCATTTGTTCACATGTCATCTACAACTACAAGTCCCAGTGGACCTCAGTGCCCTCCAGTCCTGAGTACTCCCTGTTCAGTCAAGAAAATTCAGGGCTATCTCCAGAATAGTGTTAAGAAATGTGATCAATTTCGGTACTGCCACAGAACCAAATGGGAAAGGGCACTGGGATAAGGAGGGTGAAAATAATGTGTCTTTTCATCTCATATTTTATAGTTTAGAACTGCCCATCAGGGAATGGAGAACAGAAGTCCTTTGACTTTGTTCACCTTTGCAAGAGATTGAATAAAAGATCAAAATATCATATACATTGCTTCCAGTTAGACTTCCTGGCTTGAAAAATCAGAGTCATTGTGTTCTAGTCTTAGAGGCAGCAGAATGTAATGAAAAAAGAAGTCTTTGGACTCAGATTTGGTTCAAATCCAGGATCTGTCACTGTTAGTCTGTAAGACCTTGAGTTAACCATCTAGATTCCCTGAGCCTCAGTTCGTCATCTCTAAAATGGGAACAATGACTTTGAGGATTAAATAAGACAGTGGTTATAAAGTGCAAGTTACTCTGCCAGGCACACAATAATGCTTAATAAAAGATAGTTATTATTGTCTGAGTTATCCTACTTTATAGCTAGTTAGCTACATGATCATAGGTTTGTCATTATTATTAATTATTAATTATTATTATTAATGTGACTGTTATTTAGTTTTAAAATAACTAGAAAACAAGCAACTGTATTAAGGTATAGTTTGCATAAGACAAAATTCACCCATTCAAGTGTAAAATGATTTTTGTAAGATTTATCAAGTGGTGCAACCATCATCATAACATAATTTTGGACCATTTTCATCTCCCCAAAAAGAAACCCTACTCCAATTAGTTGTCACTGAATTGTTTTCTCCAATCTCTCCAGCTCTAGACAATTATTAATCTACTTTCTGTCTCCACAGATTTGTCTATTCTGGGCATTTCATATAAATTTAATCAAATATTATGTGGTCTTTTGTGCTTCTTTTACTTAGAATAATGTTTTCAAATTTTATCTATGTCATTCCATGTACTGGCACTTCATTCTATTTTGTTGAAGAACAAGATGTCATTGTATTTGTAGATCACCACATTTTGTGTATCTCTTGTAATATTTTTATCTGTAAAATGGGACTAGTAACACCTGCCTTTTCTATCCATTAGGGTGGTTGTAAGGATAAACTTAGACAATAGATACGGAAACACATTGACAAGGTAAAATTATAGGTACAGGTACTATTATTATTAATGATGTAAAATACCAATAATGGAAATAATAATGATCATGAAAATGATGCTGTTAGTAAGGGATTGTAATGATCAGTGGTTCCCAAACCTGGCTGCCTTTCAGAATCTTTCAGAACTTTAGAGAAACATTAAATTCCTGGGCCACACCCGAGATCTATTGAATCAGAATCCCCAGGGCTAGTGCCTCAGTGTTTGCGTTTTTACAAATCTCCTCATGTGATTTTTATGAGCACTTAGACTTGGGAAGCATTAGACTGGATGATCTTGATGGTCCCATTTAACTAACTAAAGTGGTAGGAGTTTTTAGAATGCGGAAATCTGTTTTTTTTTTTCTTTATATATATTAAAGGAATAATAATAGAGCATAGAACACACTGTGTTTTCAAATGACCACATTATTACATATTCAGCCTTAAAAAATGAAATTTAAGAATGATTGGTTAATCACTCTGGCCTTGTGGCACTCCTTTGTCTAGTGCCTCTAGTCTACTGTTTTCTGCTAGATACAGAAAGTATCAGGGGAAGCATTTTGGATCAAAGGTTATTGATGTCAGTTTTCCCACAGTCCTTTGGTACAACGAGGGTCTTAGTGAAGCCACGTAGGATGTGGTCCTCATTAGCTGTGTCCCCAGGAAGTCAATGAATAAAACCCACTGATGGGTTTTCCTTTTGTCTTGTCTTTCCTTTTTCTTTCTTTCTTTTTTTTCTTTTTCTTTTTATAGAATCTTTCTCCTTCCCTTTATGTCTGGTCCATTTCTTCTCCCATTTTCTTGGATGTAAGTATACAGATCAATGTTCGGGGGAACATTTATGACTAGCCAGCTTCTCTGAACCTAAATTGAGGCAAGTTCAAGAGTTATTACACAGACCATGGGACAGAATATTTACAATTGGAACAGTCTTAGAAAATCTGAGCTGTGTAGTCACACCAGCTATGATTCAGTTCTTTTGCCATAGCTCATTTGTTTCAGTGAGATGAATCCACCTTCTCACTAATTTATTCTGTCACTACTAAAGCAAGTACATTGTCAAAGACAAGAATTTTAAGATACCTGGGAGGGATGCATTGTGAATAGCTATGATAATATAATCAAATGTCATTTAATATTTTAATATAATACAGTAAAGTATCATTTAATATATTCCTTTTTGAGTCAGGAAGCCCTGGAGAAGAGGCGAACACCTAGGCAGAAGTGCTTTTGCACTGAGAAGATACACATACATATAGTTCTTTTAAAAATGGAGCCTTCTTGAAGAGAAGGGAGGTAGACATTAGATCATCTCGAGCCCACAGCTTGTTTCATTTCTGCCCTTTCAGCTGTGCTTCCATGATTTCATTTCCTTACCCTCTCACCCTAAAGCAGGTTGTTAGTTCCAGCCAATTTGCACCTTGCTTGGCTCTGAAGCCAGCTCTCCCTCTAGGCCTCCAGCTGGTAGGAAATAGCCCTTGGAAGCTGTGGCAGGATGGGAAAACAGCTGTGTAAAGGTGCAGCACACCTTATCCAGCTCCAAGTGCCAGGCAGCAGGATGTGCAGGAGGCACTGAGCTCTGGCAGCAGATGTTGAAAATGCTGGCAGAATCAGAACAAGGAACTCTTAATCTGGCAAATAAGCGTATTTGATGGATTTCTAGCCATAGAAGTGGAGTCCTTGGAGGTGGGCAGCTAGTTTCTTAACATTTAATCACCCTAACAGCTTTGTTTTCTAAAGCCTGTTTGAGATGGAAAAGAGAAGAAGATTCCTTTTTATAGCCTCTTAGGCCTAGAATGGACTCATGTGTCACCTAGTGCATTATCTTCACTTTAGAGATGGCAAAGTTAAGACTCAGAGAGATTAAGTGATTTCCCTGAAATCACACAGCTTATAAGTGCCTAGCTGAAATTTGAATCCAGGTCTCTGTGACTCTGGAGTCATCACTCTTAATGACGATAAATATCCTGCCCTCAGTGGGCCTGTGGGCCTCTGCAGCGGCAGCAGTGGCTTTGCTGGGTGTTAGTCTAAATTTTCTACATTTGGCATTTGCCACAACTGGAAGCCTCCTCCCGACTAGCAGTAAATCTTATCTTTGAGTCACTGGCCCCCAGTAGGGCTCATGTCTTATTGTAATCACAGCTCGGTTCCTAGATGGTTGCCCTTAATACCTTCCTTTTTTTTCTCTTCAGCTTCTATTCCTCTTTTCAACCTCATTCAGCACTTTCTTCCTCTTTGCTCTTTCCTTCTTCTTCTCTCCTCTATTCCTTAAGATTAGGGGATTAATAATAATAGAAATTTATCAAGTGCTTACTGTGTTCCAGGCTCTGGAATCAGCATTTTATTTTATTTTAGTTTATTTTAAGACAGAGTCTCACTCTCTCTGTCACCTATGGTAGAGTGCAGTGGTGCAATCTCAGCTCACTGCAACCTCTGCCTCCCAGGTTCAAGTGCAACCTCTGTCTCAGCCTCCGGAATAGCTGGGATTACAGGTGTGTGCCACCATGCCCAGCTAATTATTGTATTTTTAGTAGAGATGGAGTTTCATTATGTTGCCCAGGCTAGTCTTGAACTTCTGGTCTTAAGCCATCTACCTGCCTCGGCCTCCCAAAGTGCCAGGATTACAGGCATGAGCTGCTGCACCTGGCCATGGGTTGAGCACTTTATATCCATCATCTGATTTGTGCCCCACAACAACCCCGCAAGGTAGGTATTGTTATTATCACCCTTGCTTAGCAAAGAAGAAACTGAAGCCAAGGGAGGTTGGAGTGCACAACTAGAAAGCGCTGGGGACGCTGTTCTGACTGACATCATGTCAGCTGCGCTTTTTCCATTACTACATATTCAGGCCAATGAGAAAGTGGAGTGACTAAAATGTACCACTGGAAGATGCTCAACATAGATTTGGCTGAGGGCTGGGCCCTCTGGAAAGTTCTTGGGTGCTATATGATACTATAGCTCTCAGCCATCATGTTCATTTTCATCTGGAGGTGGTTAATCATACTCATACTTCGGAGGCTTAAGAGGTTTAAGAGATGGGAGCAAAAAAAGTCCAAAGTCCTAATAGGGCTACACAGCTGACTCTCCAGAGGAGACTGGATGAGTGAAATCATAAATATATAGCTTCACACATTTCCACACCACCAGTTGTCTGACAGTTTTGAAGTACATGACAAGTTATGGAAAACATCTGACTCAAAGGCAGTGACCTCCTGGAAGGTGCCAATGAATCTGGTGAACAAAGAAATCAGAGTTCCTCTTGGCTGAAGTATTGACCATTTCATCCTGGGTATCAATGTATGCACCAAGTGGGTCCCTATCCTCACTTAAAACCATCCCTTGGTTCCCTTGTCAAGATAGAACTCTGTGACTGAGGGCAGCTTAGGAAGCCACTTCGCTTATGCTGGATGCCACTTAGCTCCCGCCTCCACACACACACATAAATGTCCTCAAAGGTGCCCTAGAGATTTGAACTGAAACTTCTCTTAGCATTAACTGAGAAATTTATTCATTAACATGACTTAAAGGTTTTGGTGCTATGGCAAAGCAATAAATATTTGCAAAGGGAGTGAATTATCAACCTGGTGTTTCTGAATGCAGTTCTCCTGCTGAGACCAAAGGAGAGTCATCAGACTGTAATTGTGTTTAATGCTTTCTCTGCACTGGCTAGGGTTTATTTATTTATTTAGGGTTATTACCGATGACTTAAGCCTGATTAAATCACACTGTTTCTGCAGCTCAACCTCTCAATGAACTTCTAGATACCTTGAGGCTAATATGTTTTACTCAAGGAATTCAACCTTTTCCGATATTCTTTTCCTCAGGCTGAGCCTATCTCTCTTCCTATTTTCTTCAGCTCCTAATCCCAGGTGTCCAATCCCCTCCTCTTGCCTCTGATCACTGCATTTCTTCTCCTATATTAGTCATTTCCTGTAGCCTAGGGTAAATGTGAAAATTACACTCAATCCTTCCAATCCATAAATCGGGCTGTATAATGTATTCTCACTTCTGTACCTCATTACTTGTGGCAGCCAAGGGTGGGAACTGGTGAAGATGGCCCTGAATAGACAGATATCATGTACATCCTTTGAGAGGATGAAAAGATGAAGGGTGAGTGGTAGAAATAGGAGATTATTTTTGAAGCAAGAGCTAAGGCATTTATTTATTTATTTATTTATTTATTTATTTGAGACGGAGTTTCGCTCTTGTTACCCAGGCTGGAGTGCAATGGCGCAATCTCGGCTCACTGCAACCTCCGCCTCCTGGGCTCAGGCAATTCTCCTGCCTCAGCCTCCTAAGTAGCTGGGATTACAGGCACACGCCACCATGCCCAGCTAATTTTTTGCACCTTTAGTAGAGACGGGGTTTCACCATGTTGACCAGGATGGTCTCGATCTCTCGACCTCGTGATCCACCCGCCTCGGCCTCCCAAAGTGCTGGGATTACAGGCTTGAGCCACCGCGCCCGGCTGAGCTAAGGCATTTATATGTACAGGTTGTTATTTAGACAGTTTCTCTACCCAGTGTAGCGTAAGGAGTAGAGGACACACTTATACACAGACATAAACATTCAACATATGCACACACATTTCCCATTTTAATATTCCATACTGGGCCATATACTCTGTGCAAAGGATGATTTCATTTCTTATCAAGTATGTGTGTATGCCTGATATGCATGGTTACTTGGTTCATTTTAACTTGGCATAAAAATGTTTTAACTTTGAAAGCTTTCCTTGGTGCATAATATAACAAAGGGATGGGGCTTTGAGTCCAAAAATAGGACAGGGATTTTAAGAAATAGAGATGTTAAAAATGCTCCAGTAATGCCCCTGAAAGCTAAACATCCTAGAAACTAATATAAATGTTTGAATTTCAATAAAACCATATCAAGCTTGGAACTTCACTTGTTATATTAAATTTAGATGTGCTTTGTCCTTAGAACCTTTAGCTTGGCAAAGTGCTTCAACTAGGCGTGCCATTACATTGAATGATGTTTTGAGAATGGCTCTTGAATTTGGATGAGCCAAGTTTTTAGCCCAATTAGGAACTGCACCTGAGGTTGGTTAATAATCACCATTTCTTCAAAAGTTCTACTCCAGTGTCAGTGTCTATTTGTTTGGTTAGAATCATCCATATATCTGTTATTAAACTAATCACCTAATCACTTATTTCTTGTCTTAGGGGAAAGCTATGTCTGTTCCTCAGACAACTTCTTTAAAAAGGTGGAATACACCAAGAATGTCAATCCCAACTGGTCTGTCAACGTAAAAACATCTGCCAATATGAAAGCCCCCCAGTCCTTGGCTAGCAGCAACAGTGCTCAGGCCAGGGAGAACAAGGACTTTGTGCGCCCCAAGCTGGTTACCATCATCCGCAGTGGGGTGAAGCCTCGGAAGGCTGTGCGTGTGCTTCTGAACAAGAAAACAGCCCACTCTTTTGAGCAAGTCCTCACTGATATCACAGAAGCCATCAAACTGGAGACCGGGGTTGTCAAAAAACTCTATACTCTGGATGGAAAACAGGTAGGTACCTTTCCAAAGTACTTTTCTCATTTTGTCTAAATTCTTAGGTGTTCATCTTATACCTAAAATATCATTTCTTGTAGATGAACTCTTCCTCCACATATCATCATCACAACCTGATATTATATATTTCATTTGGAGTAAAGATATTTTCAACAGACAAAACAATGAATCAGGAATCTGAGGCTCTGAAATTCAATCTGCTTCTGATTTACCATGCAGAATGGTCACTTAGCCTCAGCTTCCCTATCTGCTATGAAAGATGTGTTAGAACCTAAGTTCTATGAATTGTTATGAATATGAATTTAGCCATTATACGATACAACCTTTATTGTTCAATACATGTGACTGAAAATGATATTTGCCCATTCATTATTTCTTAGATACCCTCACACTGGTAGTCAGCATTTATTTTGATAAAAGGAAGTTGAAATGACCTTCATATGCTCTGAAAGAAGTCAGATATGGGGGAAGCACTGAAGTCTCTGGCTCGTTGTCTTTGCCTCACACTAAACCATATTTGTTCTCTTTCTCTTTTCCATATGACATAGCTGTCTTAATTTGGTTCCACTGATGGTTTGTGTGAGAAAGGGACTATTTCAGGATCCTAAAATTAGCCTAAGAAAGATGTTGCCATCTGTTCCTCCTCCAAATCAGGTTCTTCATGTCATTGGTTATACTACTAAAGTGCCACCTATATTAATATCTGGGAAAGAATGCAGCCAGGCGTCTCCATCAGACAGATGCACCATTCTCTTGAGCATAGGGAGCTGTAAATATACAAAAAAAAAAATCTTCCAAGGGAATTGGAACATTGGCTGGTTCTGTTGGCTCTAAAGAGAATCCTGGTCTCCCCTCAGGAAAGACAAGTGTGGATTATGATCAATCCATACCTTTTACCTCTTAAAGCGCCTTTGGCATTTTAACAAACAACTATATGGATTCTAAAAAGGTGGATTCACTATATATCAAAGTGACTGATGAGTGTTCAAATGCAGACTTGTGCCCTTTCCCATAATTTCTGATAATAATGTGTGCTCCAAGATTTTAAGTTTCAGGGAAACTCCACCCATGTACTGGGTACTTGCAATTTTGATAAATCTGTAGCTTCTGTTTCCCATCATTTTGTAATCTGAAAGCTACCTAGACACATTGGTTATACCTGACTTGAGTTTGTTGTACCGAAGCAATGTGTTTGTCTGTGATGCTGGGAAAATCTCTAATCCCCAAGCATTTCTCTAAGAGTGTCTCTCTTCTAAGTAAGCACCATGTGTGTAATAGGCCTAATTGCCAAAGCCTCATCTCAGAGAGAAAGGACATAGAAATTTTAGAATCATTGGATCACAGAGTTGAGAATTACCTTAGAAGCCATGACATTTAATCTTCCACCTAAGACATGGATATCTTCTACAGTCACTCTAAAAGACTATGAGACAACCTATTTCACTGTTCAACAGCTGTGATTTTTAGAGTTTCTTTATATTAGGCATAAATCTGATTCCGTATGCCTTCAGTCTTCTGAAGTAATACAGGAAAATGCAATCAAAAACTTAAGACTGGGATTAAGAAGATTTAGACTCTAGTCTTGATATTGTCACTTATTATACGACTTTAGACTAATCACTTAACTGTTCTGAATCTCATACTCCTCCTCTGTACAAAAGGACTGATCACATCTGCCCTGACTATGCTCCCAGGATTCTTATGAAGATCAAATCAAATAATGGATATGAAAGCACTCTGTAAATTGAAACATGGAGAGCGATATATATAGATAGATATATATAGATATAGATATACATATATACACATATAATTCATCATTAAATGAGATTTATGGCAATTTTTGCATATTAATGTTAACTCTCTTTCCCCTTATTTATTTATTTATTGATTGATTTTTGGAGATGAAGTGTCACTCTCTTGCCCAGGCTGGAGTGTAGTGGTGTGAATTTGGCTCAGTGCAACCCCTGCCTCCCAGGTTCAAGCAATTCTCCTGCCTCATTCTCCCGAGTAGCTGGGGCTACAGATGCATGCCAACACACCCTGATATATATCTATATCTATATCTATATCTATCTATCTATCTATCTATCTATCTATATATATATATATATATATATAAGTAGAGATGGAGTTTCACCGTGTTGCCCAGAGGTCAGACAATCTGCCCACCTCAACCTTCCAAAGTGCTAGGATTATAGGCGTGAGCCACCATCCCCAGCCTCTTCTCTCTACTTCATCTCTATCATTCTTATTATAAATTTCCAACATTTGTGAATATATATCATACCTTTGCATTCTGTTTTTGCTCCAAATAATATATAAAGGGAGACCTCTATCTCTTAGGGAAGCAAGCTCCAGCCCAGTGATGAATAGGTTTTTGATCTACAGCAGGCCATGTAGAGTGGCAAGCTCTCTCAAACTCCTTTAAGCATCAGTTCCCTTTTTGGGGGGAACACATTATAAAATACCAGGATATGATATGACATGTATATACAGAAATAGAGCGGTGCCCAGTGGATCTGAACAATGCCCTCTCAGGCATCTGTACCTCTGTATATACATTACCTCTCTTTAAACCGTCTTCCTCTGCCCACCTTGACCCCTGGAGGTCGTCTTCTAAGACCTAGTTCAAATATCATTTTATCTTTGAAAATTTCTGTCTCCACTAAGGAGGATAAAAGCAATCATAACTTTTAAAAAAAAATAATGCTCAACTCGTGGTATATTGTGGATGCTCTATAAATGTTTGTTGATTGAATGAACTGACATAAACAGATTCTCACATGGCCTGGGTAGATGTTTTGAAAACCCTTCTTTCAGTTCCCGTATGTTATCCTTAGGTCTTTCAGAAGAAATAGGGGGCTTCCAAAGGAGTTAATATTCCACCCAGGTAGTTTCTATCTGGTGCTTTACTTGGAAGTCACTGAGGGCAGACATTTAAAGCAACATTTTCCTAAATACCTTCAAAGGAGAAATGTCTCTGTGTCCCCACCCCAAAAAGCTCTCCAAAAAGAATTATGTGGGGGAAATAAGGTTGTAAAATGATGCAAATTGTTTGCCATTCTTAGAGATTCACAATGGTCATTGGCACACTGAATATTCTGAGAAGTCCTACAGCAAGAAAATCCATCCTAATCTTACTTTACCACAAATATTTTTAATGAAATACACACAAACACATACCCACACATGCATATATGTGTGTATATACATATATGTGTGGGTATATATACACACATACATACACATACATTTATATGTATATATAAATGTATGTATATGTATATATACATATACATACACACATACAAAGTGCACTAGAAAATGTTGTTTACATAAAACACTGATGATTAGGAACTAACTACCCTAAATTTAATGGTAAGAATCGTATGCACAGACTAACCACAAATTAAACATTGTTGTTTTGTTACAGCAAGGACATTAAATAAAATTTAGGGGTATGTGGACAAACCTAATTACAAAATAGATGCTGTGTATACTGAAAGTTGGTGCCACATTCAAAATTTTGGAGCCCAGCTTGTTTCCCAGGTCTGGTGATAACAGCTCTAATGTTAACACCTGTCAATCACGTGATTATTAGTGGGTATTCGTACTGCTTGCAAATATGATCTTCCTTGTGGAGGCTGAAGTCACATGTATTGCAATAGGTTGACTTGGTTGGATAAGATTCTAATGCCTGTCTTTGGCTACAAGTGATACAAGGCACTTAGTTGAAAAGAACAAAGTATGGTCAAGGCTGTTTGTTATGGAATGTTTTATTCATGAAATCAAGGTGATCGCTTGATTTCAGTGTACACTATAACTGGATTCTATATCGACCAAACCAAGTGGTTTTCCCTCTTCAAATGAATAATGATCAGCTAAAAGAGCCCAGTTGATTGTTGCAAATTTATTGTTGCTTCTGTAATTGTGTGTACCATTTGAGTGACTGGCTTACACTGACTGACAAGCAATCTGCAGACATGGCTCATTTCTTTCTTTGTTTCTATTTTGTTTGGATGTATCTTTTGGAGTCCTTGATCTTTTTACAGCTTATGTTTGATGTTATAGAAGACTGGTTTCCTGACCTCTGCCTCTGAGATATTTTTGGTCTATGTAGAGAGGAAAGCCAATCACTACTAGTAGGAAGACACCCCAATTGATTCCTCAGCTCAATAAGAAGTTGTTAATGGTATAAGAAGTGGTTGGTAGGGCTCTGGCTACTCCCAGGGATTAAAATGGATTTCTAGGAGGTCAAAGAGGACATGATAGAGGATTGGATGGTGATGCATATCAGTTCACTTGCAAGTGAAAATTGTTCTTTTGGTTCCTTGGCAGCTGGAGTGGTTGTGGAGTGTTGACAAAATTATCTAATTATTAATTTCCATAACTAAAGGACACATTGACCTTCATGCGTAAAAGTCATGGATGCATAAAACTGGGACCCAAATTTCTGGTTCACATGATAGTAGTAGTTTAATAGATACATGTTCTGGCCTTAAAATTAATTTGAGAGCTTTAATAATAGACTTCCAGCTTTTTGGCATCATACATGGGGGTGCAGCTGGTCTTCACACTATCCATTTTTATGCTACACTGACTGACATCTCTAGATTCAGTTTTGTCCACACCCAAAATTTGTGCAAGATGAGATTCACTATTGCCCCAATATACATGCCTAAGGCATAGGTATGGCCTTCGGTGCTTGTTCTAGCTTGTTCTGGCTTGTTCTCCTAGTGTTACAACCCTGTTAATCAACAATGGGCTCAATAGAAAAGGCCACATGGCCATAAATTATGCCCCAAGAAGGAGGTCATTTATCACTGGCCTTGACTTGAGAAGATCGAGGCTGGAAAGGCAATGTCTTTATTACCAAAATTCTCCTTCCCCAACCTTTCAGAGGTTCCTGGAGACAGACTTTGGGAGGATTGGCTTGAGCATGAGGTGTAATAGAACAAAGGTGGAAAGCCAGGCTGGGCTCTGTGAAAGGAAAC